TGTGTACGTTTGTAGACTGGTACATGTTTGCTTCAAATGGAAAGGGAATGACATTGAAAGCGTTATAAAAACATTTCATAGTTTACTATGCAAACAGATTGTTTATGGTTGAGAACACAGGTAACAAAGTGTAAAACCCATTCCACTATGAGCAGCAAGACGTATCATATACACACTATTTACTGTGTGGTCACTGTGACTGACACACTAGCAGACCTAACATGTTCGTTCCAAATACTAGCATTGCCATGTCCCAAATACAGCATTGCCTGGTCCCCAAATACTAGCATTGCCATGTCTCAAATACAGCATTGCCTGGTCCCAAATACTAGCAATGCCATGTCCCAAATACTAGCAATACCATGTTTAAAAGAAATTATACATCAACTTACCAGAAGTATATTCCTCATTGAACAGAAATTAATTGTATTGTTACCAGGGACAATTCTTGCTCTGACTATTGTATTAGCAGTGAATTTAGGTCAGGGGAGATAGGCATGGATGGAGGTGTAATCGCTGTCTACGACTTCAGTTGGGACACAAAAAATAGCAGTAATAATTCATTGGGCTTCTTTAAGCTTGGAGGCACAATTCCATTCATGGTATTTGGTTCAATGAATTCTGTCTTTTTAGTTATGAAAATTTACAGTGCATACATGTACTGTACCTTACTGGGTTTTATATATTTTTGTTCCCATTGCATAACTAATACCAGTATGTGTAGATCAAGTGACTGTCATTGTAGCATGTATAGAAGTTTTTCATTACTATTACACATGCACATGTCATACTTGTATCGTAAATGGAGGAAGCAAATCCTTTATTTCTTAAAAATGATGATAGCTTCAGTTCTTTTTTCTGTATCATTTTTTTTTTTTGAGGAGTGATTTTACACCTTTTGTACAACTCTTACAGTGTTTGCACAAATATTGATTGTATAGAGTTATTATTTTTTTGAGGAGTGATTTTTCACCTTTTGTACAACTCTTACAGTGTTTGCACAAATATTGATTGTATAGAGTTATTATTTTTTTGAGGAGTGATTTTACACCTTTTGTACAACTCTTACAGTGTTTGCACAAATATTGATTGTATAGAGTTATTTTTTTTTGAGGAGTGATTTTCACCTTTTGTTCAACTCTTACAGTGTTTGCACAAATATTGATTGTATAGAGTTGTTATTTTTTTGAGGAGTGATTTTACACCTTTTGTACAACTCTTACAGTGTTTGCACAAATATTGATTGTATAGAGTTATTTTTTTTGAGGAGTGATTTTACACCTTTTGTACAACTCTTACAGTGTTTGCACAAATATTGATTGTATAGAGTTATTATTTTTTTGAGGAGTGATTTTACACCTTTTGTACAACTCTTACAGTGTTTGCACAAATATTGATTGTATAGAGTTGTTATTTTTTTCTGAAAAAATGAAAACATTATCAGTAGTGATTGAATTGAAGGAAAAAAACTGTGGCATCAAATGTGTAAATACAGTATTGCATGAAAAATATTGAAGTTTAATGATGCCCTCCTTTTCAAAGTGCCAGATTGAGGGTGCTATTCACACAGGTTGCTGAGTTGTCTAGCCCAACTGTGCATATCTGTATCATTTATTTGAACTATTACAAGTGCCTACTCTGACCAGAACTCAGAAATACTATACATGTCTTATGCTATTTGATTGTTATGTAAATAGATGAAGTTCTGTAAAGGGGTTAATTATTCACTGGGTTTTAATTTTGCCTATTCTGCTGACTGGAAAATGTGCTAAATTAAAACCTAGTGAATATGTAAAATTTAGCATAGAACACATTATCTAAATGATAAAACCGTGAATTTAAAACCCACTGAATATGCCTGAAATGGTAAATCAGGGAAATTTAAACCCAGTGAAAATTAGTCATTTTACAGTAATCATGTGCTATCCAGGAATGTTATATCAGAAAATACCAGCACACACAGTATAGTGTTTTAAGTCTTGTCTCAAAAAAGCCTGTTGTATACTTATTCCTGTCATGATGAAAAATCTATAGCCAAGAGATATTGATGAAGATTACTGTATTTGCTCTATTAGAAATTCAAGAACTGATTTTATTGGTGAGAGCTTGCTGCCTACTGTGCCATTGCTCACACATGTTTGTATTCTGTGGAGATATTGTTGCCCTAAAACAGATTATGTCCATAATTATTTTTAGCTCTGCTGTTGACTTTGTCGAGCGGAGCTTATCATATGAGTGATTGTCCGTCGTCATAGCCGTCCGTGTCAATGTTTTACTTTCTCGACTTCTTCTTGAAAACTACAAGCCAAAATGCTGTTTTTTTAAACACGAGTTGCTCGATATACATAACTGTAAAATAATATTTTATGTTTAAAACCTTTAAAGGGATTGGTATCGAAAACTTTATGGATTGAAATTTGTGTTCAGTTTCTAGGTTTATTGTTTAAACAAATTTGTGCACAGTACAGAGCTCAGTTTTAACAGATTTCACCTCATAAGACATTCCTAGAATTTATTTGTAGATATCTGTAAATGAGTTCATCCATTGTACAAGGACCACTCACTGTACATGACATGCTATCAATCAGGTGGTGTATTCTATATTGGTGTTCATTCACTTAGAATGAATTGAGTAAAAGAGCCAATGGCTTCGTTTACACATTGTTGGTATCCATTCCAAAGTCTCCTTTCAGAGAAACAAATAATATTTGATAAAGTTTAGGAGCAATGTTTGGAATTCGGTGTGTAGATATGCTAATGATATATTTATAACACAAGGGTTTGCCCTGTGAGAAACTGTTCAGTCAAGGTAGACAGACTAAGTGTACATAAGGGCTTACTGCTTTTAATGGTACATGCCCTAGAGCGATGCTAACCCCACTCACTTCCTGTGGCACACCTTAACCTTTAAAATGGTATAATTTTTCTTGCCATAATATTGGTTCCATGTTTTGCACATTGTTATTTATTTAGGGTGGGAGGGAAGTGAAATCATTTTAAACCAAATGTCTCTATGAAATTGTAAATTTTTGGAAAACAATTAGGTAAGATTTTGTTGTTATTTTGAAGTGCAACAACTGTGACCTTGTCATTCAAAGGGTTTTACTTGAGGTCATGTGTATTGATGCAGGTAAAAGTCTTGAGAGTTCGCAAACATAGTTTTCATTCAAACCCCTACCCCCCATTGACAGTCTGTAAATGGAATGGCCCATCGTGTGGATTTGGACAGAACCAGAACGGTGTGAAATTATGAGGTGAAGATGCCCAACTGAGTTTGGTATAATCTACAATGGATAGTAGCGGAGTGATCACTGAATGATTCCAGTAGTTGTGAGATTCAAATGCTCAGCTGTTTTGCTATAGTAACCGCAATTGTCAGTGATTTGCACATGACGACTGCCATTATGAGTGCCTTTGATTGAGCATCTGTCCAGGCGCCATGTCTACGTTATGTATAGCTGTCGGTAAGTTATTAATCGCGTAATATACATCCCCGTACTCTGATGGCGAGGTAAAATTTGTTGTTCTATTCCATCATGGACAATGTGTTTCCTCCCCATTGTAAGTTTGTATAAATGGTTTTACTTTTACTCCAAGATTACCATGTGAATAAGCTGTCGTCCTTTCTGTGTTGTTGTTGCATTGTTCAACCGAACTGGCCCGTGTGTTAAGCGTATGTGCTACCTGATGGTTACGTCAGTTACCTTTCATCATCCCTAAGTGTAATGTTTCATTAGTTTCTGTTTCATTGCTCCCTACAAGGTCTTTCCTAACTAAAACTAAAAAGGGATGTCATTGACATTTGTTTTGTTGTGATTGTAATGTTAGACTTGCACATACAAAACGTGTGTAGTGTTATTTTTTAGTATCTGTTTTGTTTGTTTTTTGTCCTAAGTCTTAGGGCCAACATTATGAGTGATTGCACTTAATTTAATGTCAACCCACAATGGGTCACTTTGTGAAAGTCACCAAAACTCACTGCCATAAGGACCACACTGAAATGCCTAAAAACTTTCCCTCCGTTATTACTTGATTATCTTTTCAATCTTCTCTAACTAGACACTTCCAGAATTTGGTAATTTGAATCATTTGAAGCATATTGTCAAAATAAACATAGTTTTAGTACCATGCAATGTACCACAGTAAATCGTCACTGCTTTAGAATTATATATAAAGTTAATCGAAAAGTCACTTCATTATTGGAGGAAACAATTTCATGTGTTTGTTTGTTCTTGTGTCCCTCAAGGATAACAACCATTCTACCCAGGGGTGTTTGTTTTTGTAATAAAAGCTTTTTTATTTATCACCATTTTTTTGAAACTTATAATTGTAAACTTGTGTTGGTGAGATGCCTAAATCAAGCATTTCTGTTGTTGTGTTTTGTATTGAAACATTGTGCGTACCTAGAATATTATGGTATCCTATGGGGTGTCTCTTTTTATCTCCATCGGTATCCTGACTAATTAATTTGATTTAATTAATTTGGTTTGACATTTATCCCCTCATCAAAAATACATTTCAAGTTTTAAATAATTTTACAGAACATTTAGGAGATCCAAAAAAATCACCTCCGTGGATGTCATTGACCTTGCCTACCTTGACAGTTTATCAACTTCTGTTAATATATTATTATTGCTATAGATGTCAATAAGTTGATTTGTGATGTGTTGATTTTAAAGCAATAAATATCCCACCTGCTTCCTAGCAGCCAGATAAAACTTAAGAAGTTCAGAAATGTTTGAATTATTGCATTATTTTGTCTACAATGAAGGCTGTATTTTTTTTTTTAAATTCCAAAAACACTTTGCATATATGCAGTCTGATTTGCTCCAGGTTTGTATTGTCAAGTTCATGTACAAGCGAGACCTTAACTACTGTGGTGTACATTACATCTGAATTAACATAGGCCTTCATATGATGTATTGTGTTGAAAGTCCCTGCTGCTGTATCTTTGTCCACTATGACCTTGAATAACTATAAGACCTCTACTCATTGTATGTTGTAGGTATTCACTGATGTGGAAGACTCAAGACTGAATTAAAGCTGTTTTTCTTCTTTTTTATCAACTAACGAGAACACTATGAAGACTATTAGCCTTGGTTATGCAATAATTGTTTGTTTATGTGTACTTCATGTAGCAGGTATGACAACTAATTATTTTTTTGTAATTATACCTTGGTTATGTTATTTGAGTCTTAACAAGAAAGTAGTGTTGTCTCCTGACTGGTACAAAAATCCTCCATTTTTACTGCATCTGTAGTTTATGTAGTTTATTGTGAACCAAAAAAACAATTCATGATTCCATGAGTCAGAGAAATTATGTAGCAACAAAAAATGTATTGTTGCAGTGACAATTTGAGACATCAACATAATTCAGAGACAACATAATTCAGGTGATCTGTCTGGACAATTCCACATCTGCACTGAAAACTAGTAAACAGTTAAATTTTGTTGATGAGCAAGATTTGAACTATTGAGTGCAAATGTGAGGGTTTAAATGTCACCAAAGCAACTCTAGTGATAAATGATTGAAATGATTTTTTGTGATTCCTGCAATTTATCAAAAATCAACCATTGCAAAGCAAATAAATGGCAATCACACTTGATGCTGCAAAGTAATAGGAACAGCGCCCCCTAGTGGCTAGTCTTTCAAATATTTTTCTTTTGTTTTGGCTCTTGTTTACCTGTTGGGGTTTGGTTGGGAGGGGGGAATTTGAGATGTGGTCACAACTGAATTTTGGATTTTGCAACATGAAACAGTGTGGATGACTGTTGAACTATTCAAGGATCAGCCAAGCCATGTCAAATACAAACCTCTGCAGATCTTAACCACTGTATGTCTCATGAGAGCAAGACAAATCATGGATTTTTTTAGCAGTGAAAATTTCTCTAGTGTGCTGGGACATGGAGTGTCAGTGACTTTTATGAAATTTTGTTTTGGAACAAGGTCTGCCCTAAACCATGAAATAGAGTTGTATAGAAATCATATAGTACAATATGATATTTCAAATTTTCAGTTTCTGAGTCTGCAGAGAACAGCTATGAAGAACCTGAAATTTATTACACTGTAGTATGTCAGAATCGTAACATGCAAATAGCGTGTTTTAATGGTAAAGTTATAGAAATTACCATGGCTAATTATGGTCGCAGTGATCAAAACACATGTCCTAAGCGTGGTGAAATGGATGACGTGAACTGCCGCGCTCTGTACTCTATGGACATAGTCTCTGAAAGGTAAGCACGTTACAGTTAGATACACTCAATTGTTGTAAGGAATATCTTTTGGTGAGATTAGCAATGTTGTCAGAAAAAATCAGGAATCAACTATTTCACTACATAAAACCTCTTAATTTTTCCATATTTTTTCAAAAATATTAATCAAGCATTAAGAAAATGTTGCAGTGACAATATTTGAGGGGAAAATGACTAGCACAAAAAGGTATAATAAAATCTTAAATTCATTGTTCTCTTGTGTAAAACTTGTTTCAGACATTTTCCAAAAACTTTTTCTTCACAAAAAGTTATTCCATATTTTGCATGAGCAGAATATTGATATGTTGATAAACATTTTATTTATGCATCCAGTCGACTAATATTTAATACAATCAGCACTTACAGTAAACATGCATCTCCATCATGTACAAAAAATGTACATGTTTGTATGATAAATCAGGCATCACATGTCATAGATCATAGGTCATAGGTCACAATTAACAGAATTATTTGTGTGATACCAGAATTCTCATCAATATTCTAGAGTAGAGATTCTGCAATTTCTCATCCCAGTCTTCTGTCTTACCTTAGGGTAAATATTTCTAAACTAGCATTAGTAATTTTGGACTTGACAAACATACATGTTTGAAAGAATTTCATAAACAAACTGACAACAGTATTGTATCTCAGTGGTAAAAATGTTTTTATGCAATTTTGGTGTTCGTTTTATGAATCTTTAGTTCACTAATTTTAGTGAACATTTTTGTTATTTTCGGTAAACAATGCTATTTTTGATTGCTAGCCCAATTGGTTTGTTATTTTATGCGTAGACACCTTGAGTGTCACTGGCAGATTTGTTCATTTTGTAATAAGTTTAATTTTCTAAACTTAGTAAATTTAGTAATTTTAAAATACCTAATAGAATGTAGCTATATCAGCTAATAGGCTGCTTGTTAGTGATATTTCGTAATTGTGACAAAATGCTATAAAATATTCTACGATTTTCATCCCATCATCATTTAACTCTTGCACATTTCATCTGACCATTGCATGTTGCGATGACCCCCTAACTCTGCATGTTCACATGATATTGGTAGATGTAATGGACGAGATAAATGTACAGTGCCTGTAAATAATGGAATATTTGGTGGCGATCCTTGCCGAGGAACTCGTAAATATCTTGAAGTTCAGTACGAGTGCTTAGAATGTAAGTCTGTTTTATAATCAGTATTCAGTTGTGCATTGTGTCTGCATGAGTATAACATGTCTGTGATGGAGCATGGTCGAAAATAGATGAGTTTCCAGTTCCTTGGTTGCAAATCTGTCATGTGCTCAAAGAGAGAGAGGGGGCCGGGGTGTCAAATCACTTGGACTCACTTCCAGTCCAAAAAAATATGTAGTATTAAGCAGATATTTTACTATACCGGCTTCAGTTTTGTTTTGAACATACTAATTTTGTATTTTAATCATCTAAGTTACCTTTGAAAGTTTACAAACTTGTTATTAAATTTAGAAAACACAACAAAGTTAGATAAAATGTAATTTATATCGTTTTGGTATCTGTACATACTTTTGTAAGATATTTCTGGGACAACATACAATCATGTCTATCCAACTTGTGAAAACCTGAGACAAGCTGGCTCTGGGAGGAGGACTGCTTATAAAATCAAATCCCCTTTCTCTCATAAGTGCACTCAATAATGTAAGCATGCATGGAACACTCCCTGAACTGTAAACTCATCTATTGTGCATTGCATTGTTTCTGTTGAAGCATGGTCAACAATTGTGCTAAAACAAAAATACTGAAGTCTGCATGAGTATGCCATTCAGAGATTCCAACTAATAAAAACAAATGTAGACACAAGCACAGTTATTGGCTTTGCTCTTTTATATTATTTTTTTCTATTTTCTCTTTTATTCTCTCTATCTTGCGACTTCTGTTTTCTGTTGGTGTTGGTGGTGGTTTTTAGATGCTCTGGTTTGCTTCAATGTAGTATAAACGCATCATCAGAAATATTCAGTGATCCGTGTACAACTGTCAAGAAATACTTGGAAGTCAGATTCCAATGTGTTCGACCATGTAAGTGCTTATTACCCCGGTGAACAATAACACACAGCTAACACTTACTTGTAGAATGTGTGATTATTGTCTCATTACAAGCTATCAGTTTTATCCACATTGAATTATAGTAATTTTTGATTTCATTGGTTGTGATTCAGATGGCATTGAATTCAAGCAATGTATCATAAACTTATGAAGTGTGAGAGTTTGGGTGCATTATGGGAACTAATTTGACAAAATGTAGAAATTCAAATGAAATAGAAAATTTAAAAATTCAAATAGCCATGACCGAATATATATTTTATGCAAAGAAAAAGAAATCCTATACAAGATCCAACAAATTCGAAACAAGGGCAGAACACAGGAATTCAAAGTAAAAACATAATTTTGAGTAAAAATGATAGCTGTGGTGAAGTATGTGTGCAGATAATATCTATGAATGGTTTTGTGATTGATTAATTTACTGTCTCTGATTGTGCTACATCTTTATCTAATTCTATTTGTTGATGAATTTGATATAATCATGTATTTATAATTCTTTATTTTGTTTTACTTTTTTAATCACAACCACAACTGATGTTCATGGTAAGCATTCTAGGATTTCTGTGCAAAAAGAAAATGACAAATTTTGAATTAATGAATTGCAATAGAAATCTGAATGTCCTGCTCAAGACGGTGATTTTGAAGTATTGGTGTGAGGGAGCATGAATCCAGTTCATTTTTAGATTATTCTTTGTTGCTATTGACGAAATCCTTCTTAAAGCTGAAAAGATTAGTTTTCCAATCACGCCTGAATTGCCATGTCTACTTCCTTTATATTACTTGTGTCACATGGCATCATTAATTACAATACTTGTACCTGTGATAGGCTGATACTATCACATAATCTGTACTCTTGTAAAGAAAAGTGACAATATGATTTTAACTTCAATCACTCCACAACCACACAGGTTTTAAGATTGCTATCAATACGTTGGTACCAAGTGAGTCCCTTCTTGAGGGTCAAAACATTTAAATTTCTGGGGAGGCACATAGAAATTTATTTGGGAAAACTTTGTAATAATAATAATAATAATAATATTTTATTAGCCTTTGAAACAGTGTAAAAAGAGGCATACAAGTCAGAAACAAGAAAAAAAAAAATGTAAAAGCATTCATACATGTAAATCATTCAGTTTCTTGTTTCTGAATTTCCATAGGTGGATGAGAAAGTTTAGGATTCTTTTTGACGTATTATTTCCCAAATTCTTATTGATTGCTCATAAAGCATCACTAAATTTGAAATTAATTCTTCTCGAAAAAAATATATCAATAGTTGATTCTCCACCACTTTTCACTGTCAAGTGGTTAGTTGAATTTGCAAGGGAAGACGTGCAATCTAGGGGAAAAAAAATTACTTCGCTCTTTGACCAGTTACCCAACATTCACATGCTTTTTTTTAAAAATAATCATATATGGACAACCAGCATCCCGTACTTTACCATTTATATCTACCGGTAAATATTAAACCCACTAAACGAGACAAAATTCTACAACTGTTTCAGCACAAATACCTGTTTCTACGACAATCAACCAAACAGTGATGCAGACCACAACGACTGTGGAGCCTACAAAACAGAAACCAGTCACTACTCCAACACAACCTCATAGAATATCACTGCCCACATTGCCTCCACCGCTGATAATTGAAACAACACAACAACCTGAAGGTATGTATGGTTTTATATAGATCTATTAATTCATATGCAAGTTTCTGTTTCTACACAAGCTTCTTTGCAACCATGCATTGTCAGGTTGATCTCATTTTTGGTGTTCAATTCTAGTTGCAACTTGCTGATCATGTGAGTACAGAAATCACTTAATCCAAAATCCAGGGATGATCTTGTACTTTTCATTAATTTGTTATAATAATTACTAGCAGTGTTGATTTGAAAATCCAAAATAAACTGATCATGAAAAATGCTAACTTAATTTTGAACATTGTATTATCTCTTGGAAGATGCTTAGCGGTGTTTGGTATGACTTTGTATTCAATTGTTTAAATTAAATTGTATGCTTGTGATCAAATAATTTATTGTGTAGGCTGCTCATAGAATCTATAAATTTATCATTATTTTTATATTTCATGCTAAAACACTGCCCACAAATTGAACTGTTGATCACCATTTCTAGTGAGATTCAGAAATAAATAGATTGGGTTCTGTCTATTTGCATGTATGCATGCATTACAGCCATTAATCTGCCATGCATGCTTTGTCCAATTCAGTTCAGATCTGGTACAAAAACAAGTCAAATTTTGGTGTTTGTCTTGTTTCTTTCATCATTCTCTTTCATCGCAATGTTATTAGTCCACGTTCGAACAAAGTCCGAAAAGGTGGACTATTAATTTGGGTTTGTTACGCCCGTCCGTATGTACGTCCGGAGCTATATCTTGGACACTCATTGACGGATTTCATTCAAACTTTACATGAAGACAATACATAATGTCTTACATATGCGCGTCCAATTACTTTATTATCGGAGCAAAATGGCCGACTGGCGGCCATTTTGGATGTAAAATTTGCTATTTCTGATACCTAAACATGTCTGCAGCAGTTTCTCGGAGATGACTGGGCTGATTTGAATCAAAGTTGGTATGATGATCATACATATTGGGTTGTAGGTGCACGTCATTTTTTTTCCCGTGATTCGAACAAATGTGGCCGACTGACGGCCATCTTGTTTTTCATGGTACCCATGCTACTTTATCTTGAATGCAATGAACGTTTCTGTTTAAATTTTGTACAAAGATAGTATACCAAGAGATACATCTGCACCAACATGATTTTTGTGATTCGATTCAATATGGCTTACCGACGCC